AAAACCCATTCTGTTAAGATTGTCATGGTCAAAGATTTTTTGCGGTCAGATTGTTAAAATTTAGGCCTTAGGATTTATTTACCATATAGATTTGTTGTATTTGAATTATTATATGTTTTTTGGTTGACCAAAAAAATAATTACTATATGTTAATAGGTACAATTTTCTACTTCGTAGAGTAAAACGAATTTCAGGTATTAGACCTTTTCGATACAAAAGCCTGTCCCCTGGACCATGTTAGGTGGACTGCAACACGTGTTTCTTTCCTCTCGCTGTAAAAGACAAAAGAGATTCTCCTTTTTGAAATTTTGATATTTCAACTGTAAAATAAAGAACACTTAAAATACAATTATACATAAGTTTCACTTCTATCACAAATCCCCGAGCCTATATATTTGGACTATACTTTTCAACAAAAGTTGGAGCATTTTGGAAAAAGAAATTCGATCAAATCTAAACTTCTCATAGCGCATGCATAGAATATTAGAAATAACATGATTTGGGCATAATCGTTGTTGATATTGCGTATTTGTGGATGCTCTTCCTTTCGGAAAAAATAAATAAATGCTATTAACAAAAAATCATTTGAACATAATTGTTTTTTTAACATTCCTACGAATTTGATTAACATAAACGTCTTGCAAATCATTGTGTGTTCTGTTTCAATACTGAAAGGAATACTAGTTTCATGAATTTGATTTAAAAAATTAAGATATACTTTCTATGGGCTTCTCAAAAGCAAACATTACCAGCACAGACTACAAGTTTTAGTTCCAAAAAGAGTCGATCATTGTGCAAGGTGATTCATTTAGAGAATTCATGGTTTTTAGAGTTGCATATTTTGACTTATATATATCTGGGTATAAATGATAAATATTAAGTTTTGAAAACGATTAAAGATAAGCACAACATGGAGTTTACAGTTAAAAATACAAAATATTAAACAAAAATAAAGTAAGAGACATTAACCACAACATAATACACACAGACTACAAAGGTTTTAGTCCCAAAAGAATGCTCATTGTTATATACATAAGAACCCAAGCCAAGTGGCTACAGAGACTTGTGGTCTAAGCTAGACCTTGTGAACAACAATGCTGAACCATTCACACACCTAAGTACAAGCAACCTACTGTCTATATACGTACCACACACAAGCTTAGACAAATCAAACATCTCCTGAGGAATCTGCTTTCTAACTTCTCCAATCACATTCCCAGGTGAATCTACACGATCAGTCATATTCATCGTCACTTCGATCTCTCCAGAGACGAGTTTCGCTACAGGAAGACTCGACGGGAACTTCTTGAAAGGCACGACTTTTTTCCATTTCTTGGTTTCTAGTTTCTCGACTAGACCTTCTTCAGCATCTGGTTCTCCCATTGAGAACTTACCAATGTTCTTTTTCTCTTCTTTGAGGTAAAGTCTTTTTCCGGCTACTAGTCTGAACTGAGAGAGCGTTTGTAACTTACCCGTGGCTCCGGTTTTGTTGTGTGGCCAGTCTTTGCTGGTTATGGCGGTGAAGCCTATATCAGAGGTAAAGGATAGTGAAGCATTGTTGGCATCTGAAGCTCGGGTTACTGTTAAGTGAACATTGCCTATTAAGGCACGTGTAGAAGGCTGACGAAGAGTTAGACCTATGTGTTTTCCGGTTGAGTATAACAGACGCCATTTTCCGGGTAAAAGCTCCAACCAACACTGTGTTTATCCAAAGATCAAAACCATGTTTTTTCACTAGTTAACAAATGAAAAGTTAAAGAAGCATGAGAGGAGGTAATTCGTACATTTGGTTGTGGACATGGGTTCAGCATCTCCATTAGTTCGATGAAGTGAGCAAGTCTTTGGCGCTGCATAGAGATTTGTTTTCCGGTTAAGTCTATTAGGAGACTGAGCAGGTGAGTAAAGGTTCGAACTTTTATCATACCTGAGGCATGCGGTAAATGTATTCTTCTGAAATCCTTACTGCGGTTGATCCAAGACCCCATCTGATGATATCCATTGATGGGGCAACTCGCCATCTTGGTCCACATAGAAAAGGATGTTTAAGAGCATCCAAGCAACTGCACCAAAACTCAACAGATTTTGTTGATGTAGCTTCTTACTTCTTACACCATTTAAGGCCTCCATAGATTGATAAGTTACCTTATTCTTTTAGAAGGTCTGGTAGCAATCAATGAAGATAATAGGTGCCAACCTGCTCCCCAGTTTCTATCAAGTATCTAAGAGCAAACCAAAAAAAAAAACTGTTTAATCTCACAGCGAGTGAAAGAACTAGCAATTCTTCTAGAGAGGTGCACTTGCTGAGTACTTACTTGCACTCCAGTATTTCCAGATTCAGAGTTTGTATTGAGCGTAGTTACAAAGAATTCACGTAGCGAAGACGGATCATTCCCCTAGATATACATTTAAAAGATATTAAGCGAAATAAACACAAGTTCATAACATCAAACTCATCAATGGATTATTACATTAGGCGACCTCTGTAGTCCGGTTAATCATACCTTTGCCAGGAAAGACTTCAACTTCGCAAAGATTAATGGATCCATCAGTTCTTGAAGTACCATTTTTGCCATCATGAATCCAACACATCTTTGACAGTGAGAAGGAAATGAAAAAGTTAGGCTGTGGAATGTAAATAAACAGAAGTCATAATTAGCATCTTTTCTCTAAGTACCTCATGTCAAAAGCTATCATCATCTGTCGTCTGTCCATGGTACTGTAAGCGCTGCTAGTACTTGGACCATCCTCGCCAAAGTCAGCAGCATTTCCGAGAATGCCTACCTATAATTTTGGAAAAAAATCTGAATTTAATTGGCAGAACTGGAACATACATAGCTAAGTGATAAGTTAGCTTAATAATCAAACTTCACTATCGACATTATATACTAACTTTGATATGTCTATCCACAGGGCTGATATGCACATTTTCCAATCTCAGTTCTGTGTGAGCAATACCATGGCTGTGCAAGTAATTGACCTTCAAGTTTAAAGAACACCAAATAAAACACATGTTAAGCAAATCATGACAAAAATAAATGACTTTTCTGGAAGTTTGAATGACACAATACATACTCCGATTAAAAGATCCCTCATTAATATACGGATTAATCTTAACTGCCTTGAAACTGCAGGCCCTCCAGTTGTATCATCCCCCACCCTTCTAAAGGATTCTTCATCTAGTGCAAGAGTAGCTTCCAATGTTGGCAGCCAATCAGATTGTTGAAGCCAATGCCTAATCGAGAAACTTCCATGGCACTGAAAGAAGAGATAAACCTATGAAGAAACAGTTTTTCTGCAACATTGTGTTGTGGATAAGGAGGGAAGCACTTACCCCATGTACCAGGGTAAACGAGTACGGATCATCACCCAAGTTATTGGAGATATAACCGTGAACTTGCATTGAGTAAGAGTGATAGAGAAGTCTACGACGAACTAGCTTTTTCAATACCTGCAAGTAGTTAAGAATATACCGGTTAACCATATATGAAGAGATACACAAAGCAAGATAATAGACTAATAACAGTGACCCGAAAGGGAACACGAACTTCTATGGCCCTTCTTCCCCTCCTTTGAGCGTGAGTGGTATTCAATTTCCGGAGGACAACTCCTTGGTTAAACAAAGGGCTGTGAAATCGAAGCACCACAGATGAAGCCCCTGAAATCATCTCGAAATCTTGTAATACAATGAAGTAGAAACTGACCTATCTGGAACCTGAACTATAGCTTCAAACACAAGCTCATCGGCCTGCAAGAAAGTAGAGTCATTTAGTCAATATGGACGCAAAATCTAAAGCCAACATAGTAAACATAAGAAACAATCAAATTGGTAACAAATAATACCCGGCCTCCATGACCAATGCTAACACGATCAAGAATCTTGAAATCATTCCACTTGAACTGCAACACATGTGCTGATTCATCATCCGCTGATACCGAGGGACTGTTCTGAACATCCTCGTCCATCTCCACATTAGACGATGAAGATTTCAAGGAAGACGAACATCGAAATCTCACAGGCTTTGCACCACGAACCGAACCCGTGGGCTGCCATAGACTACGGTTCCGTTTCAGACCAATGCTCGTGTTCTTAGCAGATTGCTGCAACAATTCCAAGCTCCGCAGATTTGGAGTCGAACAAACACCACATAGTGCCATCCAACCAAAAACCTCTATAGAAATTTCAAAAAGAGAAAGACTTTATAGACATTTCAAATTCAGCAAAGTAATTCACAACCAAATCAAACACATTTCACACGAAATAGAATCATAACAAAGCTAATTCGCATTCAGTACTGAAAGAAAACTCAAATCCGTTAATACAAAAGTTCAAAAAATGGAAACAAGAGAGGGATTACGTGAACAACTTAATCCAGGAACAAAACAATCATTGATCAATCATATATACTCGAATCAAAAGCTTTACCGCTAAGAGAAACCGATTAAACTCACAGAGAGGGACAGAGAGAGAGAGAGAGAGATTTCGATCTGGAGACGACACGCAACTTCACATTCAAAAAATCGGATTTAGTTCGAAATTTTACAAGGAATTTAGGAAAAAACGAAAGTCGTATATAACGACAGAGAAGCTCGTGAGAGTTGCGTGATGAAGTACGCCTGAGGCATCGCGCCTCGAGGTCGACTCACGTCTACGTCTGCCCATTAAAATCTCATCCCAACTCTTATTGGGCCTTAACATTGAGCCTTTAAAGTCCAACTTTCCTGGGCCTAGATAGTTCACTCACTATTGGGCTCCAGCTGTCTACAGTTTTTCATTCGCATGACGTGGCGATCACTGACTGGATGGATGACCGAGCGTGAAAATAACCGAAGCCACTACTTACCGAACCGGCGCAAGCAAAACTCGATCTGATAACCTCTATCTCACGGGGGTCAAAAACCGTAATAATGTCGGCGTTTCAAGGGTTAATATCGTCATTACAGATATTAATCTCTTAGTCTTCCCCTTGTCTGAAAAAAAAAACAGTTAATCGAACGCAACACATGTTCTCGTTTTTCTTCTTCAGCATCGAAAGGGCATTAAGGGTCTCTCTCTCTCTTCCATATTTATCCTCTATCTCCCGCTCCGTGGCAATTTTGTAATTACTCCATATAAATCTCGCCGCCGGCCGTCGAATCGCCGGCGATCTGGATTCTTCGGCCGCAGTTCGTTTCTTCATCCTCTTCTGGAGTCTTTTGTATTTGTTTAGCGGCTTAGTTGTGAAGATCAAATCCCTCGAAAAACCTCGATTAGGGTTTCGTGTTTAGACGATTCGAAATCGAGAAGTATCATAGATTGGGGGGGGGGGGTTTGTGATTCTGTGGAGGTTTTTTGTTTCTCCCTCTCTTATTTGATTTTCAATTACTATTATCGAGATGCCAAGGAGTACGAGGCACAAATCGAGCAAGCACAAGGATGCGAGAGAGTACTCTGATTCGGAGAAAGAGTCGAGCTTGAAGGAGAGGAAGAGCAAAGAGGAGAGTTCCGCTAGGGTTTCAAAGGATTCTGGTGATAAACGAAAGCTTGATTCAAAAGAGTATTACGATTCGGTTAACGGAGAGTACTATGAAGAGTACACTTCGTCGAAGCGGCGGAAAGGGAAAACTGGTGAGAGTGGTAGTGATAGGTGGAATGGTAAAGATGAGGAGAAAGGGGAGAGTTCGAAGAAGACCAAGGCGTCTAGTGAGAAGAGTAGGAGGAGAGAGGAAGGAGATGGTGAGGAGACGAAGAAGAGTAGTGGTAAAAGCGATGGTAAGCATAGAGAGTCTAGTAGAAGAGAAAGCAAAGAGTTTGACAAGGAGAAGGATCGGGAAAAAGATAGGAAGTATAAGGAAAGTAAAAGTGAGAAGTTTTATGATGGTGAAGATCACCATAAATCCAAGGTTGTCTCTGAAAAATCTGGTAAGATATCTCCACCACTGTCATATGATTCGATTCGTAATCTAAATTGCCACTGGAAGTTTAAAAGTGAACACATTGGAAAAAAATTTCCTGGTTTTGTTGACTTTAGTGTTCGTCTTTGATGTTGGCTTGTCATTCTATGCTAAACACAGTTCTGGTTGCAGTCTGCCAAGAGAATTGTATCTAAATGTAGAATCTTTGTATACTAAGTGTAGTCTTTTGAAGCTCTATTGTAATTAACACTTTGTCAGAATTTATTCATGTTGTTTCTATTCCAATGCTTTTCCAAGATAATGGAGTTGCTGCTGCTTTGCTTGCTATTATAATCGAGGCTGCACTAACTAATCAAAAAAATGTGAAATTTGCAAATGTATATGTATTATAGTTCCTTCATATTCAAAAGGATAGTTTAGAGAGCTGCTAAAGGGTTTTTGAATCGTTTGCTAATCTTGATGTTTCTTTTGGACTCAGAGTCGAAAGCTCAGGAGCAGCTAAGGAGTCCAGGGAAGGAAAATCATACTGAGAAGCGATCAAGGCGAAAAAAGGATGATCATGGTGCTGGAGACAAGCATCAAGATAACAGTGATGATGTTGGTGATAGGCTTTTCACTTCCGGAGATGACTACATCAAAGATGGAAAACATAAAGGAGAGAAAAGCAGAGACAAATATCGGGAAGACAAGGAAGAAGACATCAAACCAAAAGGTGAGAAGCAGAGAGATGAGCGACCTAGTAAAGAGCATCACAGGTCTGATGAAAAGCTCCTCCGTGATGAAAGTAAAAAAAAATCTAAAGGACAGGATAGTGACCATGGTCATGAGCCTGACAGTGAACATGATGGATATCATGACCGTGAACGCAAACGGGACTATGAGAGAGAGAGTGATCGGAATGAACGGGACCGCGAACGAGCTCGGGACCGTGATTATGAGCGAGATAGGGACCGTGATAGGGATAGGGAGCGGGAACGTGATCGTGATCGTCGGGATTATGAGCACGACCGCTACCATGAACGGGATTGGGACCGTGATAGGAGTAGAGACCGTGACCGGGATCATGATAGGGACAGGACGCATGACAGAGAAAAAGACCGTAGTCGTGACTATTACCATGATGGGAAACGAAGTAAGAGTGACAGGGAAAGGGATAGTGACCGCGATATGTCGCGTCTAGATGATCAAAGTGGTCGGTATAAGGATAGGAGGGAAGGTAGGAAGTCTCCAGATTACCAGGATTATCAGGAGGTCATCACGAGCACTAGAGGTAGCAGAGCAGAGCCTGATGGTGATATTATAAGATCAGATCGCCAACCTTCCAGTTCGGTGGTTCAGGAAGAGAATGGGTATGATTTGTCCTCTAAACCATTTTAGTTTTGTGATTGGTGCTCTGCGTACTTGGAATCATTGTGTGTGCTATGTTGAATTTAGTGCTTTTAATTAGTTCGAAATCCTAATGGATATGCTGCTGCCTGAGTTTCAGAGCTTATAGCTTTTGGTAAGCTTTTGAAAGTTGAGATTGATCATAGTTTTGTCATGGTGAAACAGGAATGGGTCGGATCAGGTAGCCAAAGGGGTCTCTTCACGGGAGGCGGCTGAGCTGTCTGGAGGATCAGAGAGAGGTACAAGGCATAAAGGTTTTGAGAGAACAGCAAAGATGGAAGATGGTGTTATTGGCGAGTTTCAGGGTGAAAAGTCTTCTGCCACAAAAGCTTCACCCCGGACAATGGTTGAAAGATCTCCCTCGTCGACAAGCTTTGACCGGAGATTCAATAATCGGAGTGGAGAAGCTGGTCATAGGAACAGTGCTAGGGATTATTCAGCAGCTGAGGATGAAAGGCTTCTTGTAGATGAGACATCCCAGGCAGAATTATCTTTTAACAATAAGCCCAACCAGAACAATTCTTCTTTCCCTCCACGACCTGAATCTAGGAGTGGCATTGGTAGCCCTAGAGTTGGCCCTCGAGAAGAAGATAACAGGGTCAATACCGGTGGACGTTATAAGAGAGGCGTTGATGCGATGATGGGAAGAGGGCAACAAGGTAATGTGTGGAGAGGTGTCCCAAGCTGGCCATCTCCACTTCCACCAAATGGATTTATTCCATTTCAACATGTTCCAACTCATGGAGGTTTCCAAACTATGATGCCACAGTTCCCATCGCCATCTCTCTTTGGGGTAAGGCCTTCAATGGAAATGAACCATCAGGGAATCCCTTACCATATGCCTGATGCTGAAAGGTTCTCTAGTCACATGCGTCCACTTGGGTGGCAGAATATGATGGATGCCTCAGGCGCTTCTCACATGCATGGTTTTTTTGGGGACATGAGTAATAGTGTTTTTAGGGATGAATCAAACATGTATGGGGGACCTGACTGGGACCATAACAGGCGGATGCATAGCCGGGTTTGGGAATCTGGTGCAGATGAGTGGAAAAATCGAAATGGAGATGCGAGCTTGGAAGTCTCATCAATGTCTGGTAAAGATGATAACTTGGTGCAGGTTGCTGATGATGAGTCTCTTGGCGGCCAAACAAGTCACTCTGAAAATAACAGGGCAAAAAGCGTCGAAGCTGGGTCGAATCTAACATCTCCAGCAAAAGAACTGCTTGCGAGTTCTCCTAAAGTTACGGCGGAAGTTGTGGCTGAAGATCCTGTGCCGGAAAAAGTTGATAACACTGAACGTTATCGCCGGCATTATCTCTCAAAGCTTGATATATCGGTAGAACTTGCTGATCCCGAGCTTCGGAAAAGTATTAGCGTATTGATGGGTGAAGAACGTATAACAATTGATGATGGAACTCCTGTGTTTGTAAACCTCAAGGTAAAACTCTCTCTATCTCAGACATTGATATCGATCATTCTTCTTGTATATGACTCTTTTCTCATATCTCTATATTTGTTTTTGATGACAGGAAGGTGGGAAGAGAGTGCCCAAAAGCATCAGTACTTCCTTGACGACTCTTTCACTGTTTCCTTCTCAAAACAGTTCAGTGTTTCAGGTAATGCACTAAAAAAAGGAAAATAAGATTCAAGTATTAGCTCCAGGTAATTCGAGACTTATGTCAATGCATTAACGTGACCTCCCCTTTTTCAGATAGCAATGGACCTGTACAAGGAGCATAGATTTGAATTGAATGGTCTTCCAAATGTCGAAATTCAGGGGCCTCCTCAAGTCTCTCCTTCCAGTTTGGTTGAAGTCGATACCAGTGATGACGTGAATGATGCCATGAAAGGAATTAGTTTTATGGAGACATCAGATGTGAAAATTGCGGATGTGTCAGATTCAGACAAATCCCATAAGGAACAGCAAAATGTGTCATCACCTGCTGATTCCGGAATGGAGATAGCAACACAAGACGAAGGATCTTCATCTCCCAATCCAAACAAGTCACCTGAGGCTCCTGAGGCTGTGGCTTCAGATCACATTGAAGGTTATGAGCAAGATGCAAAGTCAGATGATGGAGCTGGTGTAGACCAAACAATGGAGACAGCTCGTGATCATCATGGTGTCCCAGAAGGAGAACCTGTTACCGACCAAACAATGGAGACAGCTCGTGAACATGATGGTGTTCCAGAAGGTGATCCTGTTACCGAGGAAACAATGGAGACTGCTCGTGAACATGCTGGTGTTTCAGAAGGTGATCCTTTTACCTTGACAGTAGTTTCACCGGCCCTCGAGACTATGGAGGTCGATGAGCGGAACGATTTGTCTCAAGACGAGAACATGGAAGAAGCAGTAGTGAAGAAGGAAGCTGAAGCTGAAGCTGATGATGGTGATGGAGATGGAGAGGGAGGTGTAGTTGGGGATGTATCTCCAAAGGTAACGGAAACATTAGTTCATGAATCTGATGAGTCAGTAATAAGTCGGATACATCATTCTCCACAAAGTACACATTAAGACATTCCTATAATTCCATCCTTTCTGCTTTGTTTCGTTTTGTTTTTTTTTCTATAATTTCCTTACTTCTAATGCAATTTTTTTCCCTCCAAATTCCATTGCTTATCTTCTTCGTCTGTTCCTTTCTTTGTGCCCTCTTTACTCATTTCGTGCCCAAAGAAATAATAAAACATTAGAGAGAAAAAGTGCTACCCAGTCTCTTTTTTTTTTGCTTTTGATATTTTTGAGTAACTGAAGCCCCAAAACTCCAAAAGGAACAAAAGGATTGAAGAGTTTAGCTATACAGAAATGGCAAATGAGAAATGACTTAGCTACAAAACTCTTCTAGTCTACCTACAAAACAAATAACTTGGAGCTTACATAAATAACTGAAGAAGTGCCTTATTTGGATATCGAAAAAGAGGTTTCTATGTAACGGATCAATGTCATCAGCTTTAAGCTCCCTGGGATTCTCCTATTCAAGCGTGGAGAGCAACAGGTTCTTGGGTTAGTAGTCAGGTTCTTGGCTTCTTCTTCTACTTCTTATGTGTAAGAGCAGCTACAACAAAGTTTCTCTAATTCATGAATTTCCTGCAGTTGAGAGATTTGCATAGACACGGCACCTTGAACTCATCTGGCTCATCTGGATCAAACAAGTAATCATATCTGCCAAAACACACAACCATTTCATCTTTAGTGAATAAATCAAAGGGTAATGCGTTAATTGTGTAAAGAGAATGATATAAATATACGTCAACTCCTCGCCAGCAGGTACGGTGGTCTTGGCAATCAAAACAATCCTGCTTTCGTCATCTCCTACGCTCATAATCCTTGCATAGCAATTAGGCATACACTGCATCACACAGCACACCAGTTTTGTTAGGACTCAAGACTCTCTCTGTTGGTAACCATTCAATTTTATGTACATGATGGATTGCTTACCGAATGGTTTATTAGTCGAGCGATGTTCCCTTTTTCTGTAGCATCCACCACTACTTCCTCACTGATCTTAAACAGCTGCAAAAAATTTACAACAAACATAAAGCTTCAGAAATATATGCTTAATCAAAGACTGTAGCAAGAGATATATCTTTTGCTAAACTCACATAGCAATCTTTTCCTTCCCTACGGTATCTTGCTTCCCTTAAGTCTGCAATGATTCCTCTCACTTGTTCCCCGCGGTATTCAAGAACCTGACAAGATCTTACATTTCAACACTAACAGAGGAATGGAAATAGATTTCCTTCATGGAATAAGTATTTTCAGATGGCTCTGCCTACCATTTCTCCTTCTTGAATAATCCTTCTCGCGAAAAGACCCCAGCCATGTATTCCAGATCGACCAAAGCAGACCCGATCCATTTCTGTCCTCTGTCACAAGTCAATGAAACTCGTAAGATGTTAATACAACAAGAAACAGGTACGTAATCTCTTCCAAACTTATGGGAATGCTTACCTGCAAATGGTGAAGCCGTTCCCTGAATGAGGAGAATGATTTGGGTTCTTCTGCCACATGCTACACATTATGTTTAACAAAAAGACTCAGTCCCAAGGTGCGTTTCCAGGAAACAAAAAGACTTATTGGCACTACAGGAAACAAATTTTCTTACCCTGAATGTGTTCAGAGTTTGGATCGCTGCTGACGGATGAAGACGTGGTCCTCCAGTGTGGTGAGGAATACCTTCTTCTTCAGTCCTCTATAAATCACAAGCATCCACATAATGGATCAGCCTACTGAACAAAGATGATTTGAACCTATGCATACAGAGTTTTTAAAGATTCAACAAAGATACCTTCTTGCTATTAACTTTTCTTTTAAATACTCGACAACGAGCAGAAGAAAATGGGTCAACTGGTCCTGTATCCTCTGCAGGAGACTCTTCAACTTCTTCTCTGTTTGCTAAAATAAGCCTCGAACCGGTTCTCTTCTTGTTTTGAACAAGACTTTTGGCAGAGAAGACCCCTGAAGGGGTTTGTATGATTAGCACAGTATCTGGATTCGGAGCCCTACACAAAAAACAACAGAGAAAACAGAATTTATAACCCAAAATCATATAGCAAAGATTTTGCAAGCAGGTTTCTGAGAAACTTTACCTGTGATAAGCACAATACGACACCATCTTTGTTATCTGTCGACCATTTTTCTCCAAGCAGTGCAGCTACATTAAAAATGTGCATATATTACTCAACAAACTTATAACATCTTAAAGGCTGAACATAATTTACGAAATACTAGTTCAAATACAAAATGTTACAAATTTGATTCCATAATGGTCAAGCTTTTTATGAAACGTGGATAAATCAGAAATAATATGGCTTACCTCCATTCTATACCCGGCTCGGGAAGCACACATGGCATGATAATAAGTAGAGCACTTGCAACACTGAGTGCATGAGCCATGTATTTGCTTGCATATCACACATATCTGGAATTCATCAATAAAAGAGAAGAGTTTTTTGCTTTTTAGTTTTTCACATAGTGCAACTTCCCCAAAGGTTAGGAACAAGTAACCGTGGGAGCCAATCAAATGTAGGCAATGGACCGACTATGAGAACCAGGAATCAGGTATGTACCTTCACAAAATTACTTGATGGAATACTCAAAATCCCCAAAGCTGGTTCCATTTTTTCTTCACTTGCAAAACATACTTCAGGCTGAAACCAAGCACATGTCACGTGAACCCACAGTGTCTCCACATCAGTTGGCTTCAATGCACCACCTATTATATAGTACACAAAAACTGTCAGAAGTTAGTTAACAGGCAACAACAATCAATAATTCTCGATGAAAATTCCGATTTTAAAATCACCTCTTATCAGTTCTAGTAGTTGTAACAGTAAAAAAAAGGGCCAAGTTAAATATGCGTCACTAAATAAGAAACACAAAATGGAATGACATGCCTTTTACAGGACAGAGGCAACACTCTCGTTTGATCTCAGGTGTCTCGCAGGCCTTGCAGACCCATGATGTGAAGTCATGGACGTTTCTCGTCCCATAGCATTCCTGATGAACTGCTATTTGACATCTGAGGAGAAAAAGGAACAGAAAGACATCATTTTCAATGATACTAGATTATGCTTCACAAGTCAGATATTTTTACAGTAAATATTCCAAGAAACAAAACAACTATCGTTTTTCTCTTTATAGTAATAGCAGTGAACTTCAATATCACAAGAGCTGTATGGTGATCCAAAGACTGAAGATAATGCAAAATGTCAGATCAAGCAAGGTTCACTCTGTGTAAGAAATAAAGATTAGCGCAACTACGAAATTAAGGACAGCACCTGTTGCAGATAATGATCTTGTTGTAGTCCCAATCTTCAACCCATCTGCAAACAGCACATCGCTCGGTTGTCCACTTCACGTTGACCGGCTCATACTTCTCTGCCAATAGTGAAAGAACAAGCCAACATAAGCAATCCACAACACAGCAGGAATTTTTCGATAGGTTCTGACTTCTGAGATCCATATAGCTCAATACCTCTAAGAAAGGAAAGCAGCCTCTGCTTTCTCTGCTTTATAGAAGGTCGTTTAGGAGGTTTTGCTGCACTAGCATTTGCGTGAAACTCTGCTAATTTCATCATCTGCAGAGTGAAGACATGGCAATCAAACTTTTTCTGTAATTGATAGGCAAAATTAAAACAGAATTTAAGAAAATTTGTACAAACCCATTCTTCTAGAGGCAGCTTGGAGCTTTTAACTTTAACACTAGTCCTCCAATTTTTCGCTTTTGAACCAGTATGCCTTTCCCATTCACTAAGTGCTTTCCTTTCAGGTCCACAAGATCCACACTTACATACGACTCTGTAGATAAACCAAATGGAGTAAGAATATTCTGTAAATCATTCAACATAGATACCTAAAAGGGACAACAATGTGAAATAAAGTTAACATGGTGTCAACTTACAAATGAAGGCTTGGAAAATAGATGCCTTCTACTCCGGAGCATACAACAATAACCTTGTCAGGAAGCACCATTGGGGCATTGTTTTTGCTAAGCCTAAACCAGAAAATTCTCAGCTTTAAATTTTGGTATTCACAGTTCAGTTGTTGTAAGAGTAGACAAAAACAATCGGAAGAAAATGGACATACTTGGATTTTGAGTCTTGTTTTTCTGAATCTGATAGCTCAAAGTTGAATTTTGTTCTGCACGTGGGGCAATAGTAATCTGTTTCCCCCAAATCCTTCACGTTATCAAACGAAATTGATTTCAATACATGCAAGTAATTGGGAACAACATAACTTTCACAAAGAGCAACATGAACGTGTACCTTAAAATGCTTATGTGATATTTGATCACACACTGCATGAATCCAGATTTTACAACCATCACAACGCACCTGATTCAACGAATGTAATCAAACGGTCAAGAAAACATTAGCTGATTCTACACTACAAATATAACATAATTCGTATGTCTTTTTACCCAGCGCTGACTATCTGAATGATTCCCTATCTTCTTGCATATACCACAAACCTGTTTTGGTTTTGTCAACTGCAGCGATAATTAGTTTGAGTTCATTGAATTGAAACTGAACACGAAGGAGCATAGCAGGAACTTTACATACCCTTGAACAAGGTTTACACAATAACTGATCTCCGGGAATCAGAGCTTTCATTTTCTTTGCCATTTTAAAAGAAAGGATCATTCCACATCCTACACAGGCTCTTGGATTTCTGTATTTCTTCGACATGTCCTGCAAAATATAAACTCAATTTCTATAACCATCAGGGAATAAATTATCACATGCTCAAAAAGAAACCCCAAGCAAAAGGAGAGACTTGCCTGGCTAGGAGCAACGTGATCAAGATATTGGCTCGAGCCTGCAGCTTCTTGAATCCATCTGTAGACTGAATCATCAAAAGTCTGGTTACCAGCGGCCATGTTAATATCCTGCATGAGCTTCTCCGTGAATCCTTGGTCTGCCAAAAGAGCTTCTTCAAGCGCCATCTGAAAATCACCAGGGTTGCATCCACGCAGTTCGGACTGTTCTTGAAACCTAAGTAAGATGTAACTACTAAGCAAAACATCCACATGTAAAAACAAAAAGCACATTTCACAAGATTCTAACAACAACCCACCTGTCTACATAATCCACAAAAGGGAAGATCATGCCCCTTCTAACCCATGCATAGTCCTGTTACATAGTCAAGTTAACAAAAGCGAATACTCCAACAAATAGCTTTTAGAATCACACAAGACGACAATATCTACATATATTACCCGTTCATTCTCTGTCCCAGAGTGACCAAAGAACATGACACACGCCGCATCAGGTATACAAGAACGCAAAACAAGCTCAGGCGCTTGAGTCATTGGATCGATGACAATAGCAGGCCAAAACGGCTCGTTTCTCCCAGATTTACCCCAAACCAAATCACCAGAATAAAAATCCTCGGGCCCATAAACACCTTCTTTCTTAGGACGTGCCTCCTCTTCCATAAAACGTTGCTCCTGAAGAGAGACAGTGCTACTCATATGCTTCCTCGTGTCAAAGCTGTTACTATATCTCACAATCTCCTCACACTCATCATCATCATCATCATCATCATCGCTCTCTTCACACAATGCATTACCATACTTATGGTTCCTAGGAGTGAATCTAGCTTCCTGCTGCCTAATTTTCAAACCGTGATTACTACTAGCTTTGACTTTCTCCTTCCTGCATTCTTCAACCTCTTCCTCGCGTTCTTCGCCGCTGCTTTTACTATCTTTCCTCCAATTCTCGATAACCGAGTCATTAAACCGAGAAGGAAGCACCTGAACTCGTCCCCTAGACGTCCTCACGAGAGGTGGCCGAGAAACATCAGCCGTCCGATCCATTACACGGCCAGGATCAGAGACTACTCTCTTTGACTTTGACTCCAACTCCACCTCGACTGGAGAAGACGAGGCTTCTTTGCACCACGAAGCAGAGAATCCATTCTTTCCGTCGAGTTTTCCGGGAACTATCCCTGCAGCGATCTCTCCGAGAAGATTGAGAGGGTAATAGTAACTACCTCCTCCACTACCACCATTGAAGCTCAGCCTTCTCTTCTTCCGAGCTGCTTCCTCATTAGTCGAGTTGCATCGTTTCAAACTCGGCATTCGAGTTTTCAGTTTCCGTTTGATTATCATTGTTTCTGGTTTTGCGGAAACAAAACTAATCACTTCATCACAGATTTTCTCTCAATTCCAGAAACTATAAAGGAAGCCCCTTTTTTCCGAATTCAAGAAAACCCTAATCTCTCCCCAAACTTCCTGAAACTTTCTCGGTCTTTGAATGAACACTAAACTTCTCTACGAGTTTGACCCACTATCGCGGATCGCTTACAATTGTGGAAGAATTGATTTTTTTTTTTTCTAATTGAAGGAGGAGAAGATTTTCCCAGAAACACGAAAGAACAGAGAGAAAGAGATCTGTTCTCAAAATCCTAACTTTTCTCTCTCTATACCTTTCTCTCTCTACAAATTATAAGAACCCAGAACAGAACAAAATGCGTAATTGGTTTTTGATTTTGGATAAGGAAAAAATGCTGAATTTTGTGTAATCGAAAGACGGAATTTTTTTTTGGCTCGGTGAGGAGAGAGAGAGAGCGTGACAGAGTTTAAGAGAGAGAGAAGACGACGACGAAGGGAGAGAAGAAAGGAAGGAAAAAAATAAAATAAAAGAGATTGGTTTCTTCGGGACGTGTGTACATTACCGGAGAATGATGTGAATAAGCTAACTTGCGCTTTTGCCTTTCTCCTTCTTTCTTCCTTCCTCGTATTTCTTGTCTTCTGGTTTAGTGTTTTAGTCTTTAGACCGATTCTCTTCATGTTATTGTTTGATTTTTCTTTTTGGTTTCCTTCAATTTTTCAAATTCGACCTGTGATTTCTGTTATCTTGATGCTTTTTAAAAATGTTATTATTGTATAATATTAATCTCCAAGAACTATGGAACTGGAACTGAAACTGGAAGTTACATGGTACGATTAACCGACACTGTACTCGCGAGCTCTCTTTGTTTTGTCATAACTCATAACCTTTTTAAGGTTACTTATCGTTTTCTTTAGAAAATTTTGAAAAGAAGTCAACTTTTTTTTGTAGGTACAGTTTTCTCGAATTCATTACTCAACGTTGCTTTTTTAGTTTTTTAGTTTTTTATTTTTGTCGAGAGGATCCAAATATTTTGGATCAAATTCATTGGAAGCCCATGACTCCAATTAGACAAAAAAAAACACTAATATTATTAATCTAAATACAGAGTAAAAAGCAATGTTTTAATAACCGACTCGGAAAGCGAACCGGAGTATCCTTCGGGTGACCGGATTATCGGGTCATTCCGAATCGCACCGAATCAACCACAGATAATTAGTTTTATATTTTTATAAATATAAAAGTAAAAATAATATTTTTTATAAATATAAAAGCAAAAATATCCATACTTAGTCAAAAAAAAAAATATGATATCCATAATAAAAAAATATGATATCTAACAACCATAATAAACTGATTAAAAGTTTTAAAACCAAATTTAATCAAACAAAGCTAAAATAGTAAAAAATCACTAATAATAAAAATAAACTATTAAAAAATGGTTATTTTATTCTCCATTAAATTTCATCTCAAAACTCTTCAGACGGCATACTATACATAAGACAAAGAGAAATTAAAAAAAAAGTTATAGAAGAGACTAACTCTACGACATGTGCTCAAGGCGGAGAATGCAGTTGTTCTTAGTTTCAACAAAAAGTTATAAATAAAGATATTAAACAGTGTAAACCCTATATTTTAATGATTCAATCCAAAACCTATTCAAATTCTTTAATTATTTCGATTTTTGCTTTGAACCGGAACCCAACCGGTTCATTCGAGTCACCGGATTGCGAATTAATCGTGGTTTTTTCTGGATTTTTTCGATTCTAATGCTGGTGGATTTTAACAATAAAACCGAACCGGAATAATGACCGGGTCTCGGTTTAACCTGTCCAACCGGGCGGGTCGGTCCGGGTATAAAAACATTGGTAAAAAGTAAGAGTAGTTTGAAAACACCAAAAGAATGTCTATTTTTGATATTGATGTGTCATGTGTTCACTGCATTTGTTATGTACTACCTACATAGTAAAAGCACCAAAAAAGTAACAACAAACAAATATTCTTAAAAGTAGTTATTGAGATAGAAACATGAGCAAATATGTAAAGGATACAATCAGAGAGAACCAATGAGTAAGAGAAGAAGAAAATTTTACATAAAGTTATTAGCCTAGTCATAATAGTCTTGATCTTCGACATACATGAAATATATGATTCTCTCTTTTTGTAAATCTGAATTATCTTTTTTATATAGTTGCAAATAGAAAATCTGAATCAGTTAGATTTAAAACAGTCCTCTTATCAGGGTATTATTCATAACTAACAACTTGTCATTGGTGTGGATATATTCAGATTAAGACTTAACTAAACCAATTTGGGAGTTCATCCCAATTCTTTATTTCTCTCTTATAAAGTCAAATCGAATTTGAATTTGAAAAAAGATGAAACGAACAGTAGGATAAAATTTCTCTAAAATTAAATTCAAGAACGATCTGATTGGTTCTCACTGGTCAGAAAAACTATGTAGAGTAATTCAACCTAAAAAATATGAAAAACATAAAATGAAAATGCAATCACTAAAAGCTGTTGAAAAGGTTAAAATCTAACTTGTTGCGGTGCTTACAAGCAAAGAAACATCAAACACCTTTTATTTCACAGGATCTAACATAGTGTAATATAAATATTTAAAATTATAATTATATCTACATCTCTCACCACCATTACATCACTTCTGTAGCTACAATTTCTTTCCTTACAAGCTTATTCAGAGATACCCTTATATACAAACTAACTGGATGCTTATCACATTTGAAGTTTACACTTACACATATATTATATATATAACAAAACTAGTTTCTAATGAGATGGGCTTTGTCTCCTTATTATTCAAGTTTCTTCCTTTTGCTTAGTCCCATTCCTTTGAAACCATTCTAGTTCCTCTCTTCTGTTTTCGCAAACCTTCCTCGGATCCTTGGTTGGCTATCTGCTAGAGCTTTCCTACAAGCATACTGAAACCAAACCAAACAAAACATCAGAAACAGAACCTGAGTTACTTTGAGCTTAAAAAAAAACGACTAATTCTCAATCATTTAGAGGATCTTCTTTGTTTCTATACCTTGATTTTGCGCCCGAAATTTCGCCTGCTCTTCTTGTTCTTGTATCGAGAAAGCTTCTCACGACGATCCTCTGATGTACAGCTCACAATAATCCTGTCCAATGGAGATTGAACAAGACCTGTCCCGAGTTTCTGCTCATCAAAAGAGAAAGGAAAATTCAGATACACTTAAATCGACAATTCATATTCATCTCGAGACTTAAAATAACACCACTTTGTTTCATATTGTTGATCATTTAACATACAAATGTTCACAGAATTGTGAAAATGTTATATGTTTTTTTTTCGCAGATTTTCGAACCTGTATGTCGCCTTCACTAAAGGCTCTTCGCATCCCATAAACAGAACCAAAATCCAACTGAGAAAAGTCAGGGAAATTCTGAATCACAACAGTTTCTTGCTGTGCCTGTGACCAATCCATAGAGCTCAAATTCCCTGAGCTTACGCTCTTCTGCATATCCTGGTTCTCATCGATTGTCGTCACCACAGAGATGTTCTTGATGTCTAAAACATCAGAGAATGGAGACTCCATAGCTGATTTCATCATGAGATCTTGCTCACATTCATAGAAAGCTTTGTCCAGAAGCTGTTGACCACTCTGCAGTGACCCAAGATCGAGATCAGGAAGCTCACAAAGCCCTTGTGAAGTGTCTTCGCCGCAAGAGATCATCGTTAAAGCGGCTGAGAGTGGATCAACGGCTAGGATTGATTCTTCAAGAATTGGATCAGGAGCTTTAAATAGATCTCCTTCTTCTCCAATATCATACTCAGGTATGTGTGATGACTCAGCAAAAGTGTTGTTCTGCAAAAATCACAATCACAAGTAACATCAGAATCAAAGACCACAAACAAAAACAGAACATAGTTCGAGACATTCAGACAGTAAAGCACAGATCTTTTTGGGAGTGGATTCGTTCAAGAAAGGGCAAGAGAAAAAAGATTCCCTTTTTTTCTTCAGTGGAGGATTGAGCCAATGAAACAATACAAACCCATTTCTTGTCAATAGTAATTAAATTGGAAAAGAACAAGTCTTGAAGAACACGGAATCTCAACTTCCAGAAATCACGGAATCTCATGTGGAAAAGAGCAAATTCCCATTATCAAATCAAACCCATAAGAAAAAAAGGGTTTCTTTGGTTTTCCGAGAAAACTCCTTTCTTTTTCTCACGGAAAAAGAAAAATTTGGCTTTTTGCAGCAGAAGAAGATTCCGTTTTATTAAAAAGATTCCGTTTTTCTTCTGTCCAAAGACAAAAATAAAATAAAACCTAATTTTTCCTACTCAACTTTCTCAGCAGCCAAAAACACTTTGTTCAGGTCAGCGGAACAAAAATATCTCATCAAGTGGCCACAGAAAATTTCCTGAGAGAAAAAAAAAAATAGCCACTGAAACAGTTTCACACCACAAAATTTTCCTCTTGGAAAATCACTTCACTAGTAGACAAATTTGCTTTTTCCATCTCAAACGCTCCAATTTTAACTTCATAACCCAAAAATAGGAAGAAAGAAGATTAATGACATCAACAGACCCCAAAAGAAAAAGAAAAAAACTATCAGAATCTTCCGGGGAAACCCAAAACCTAGAAAATCAGTTTTAAAAATCAACAAAAAAAAAAACAGTTCTTCAAAAGCAAAAAAAGAAGAAGAAGATCTGTGTTCAAATGCAGTGACACAAAGAGTAAAATGAAAAAATAAAATTCAAACCATTTCATTGGAGAGCTTGTATGATTTGAAGAGGTCTTCAAATTGGTGAATATCTGGAGCACAGTTTTGCATGTAACGGAGCATTAACCCAGAATCTGCATACATTTTGTGTTCTTGCTCTTTTGGGAGAGAAAATTTTGGAAGTATGAAATGGGTTTTTCAGAGAAGAGGAGGAGAAAGTGAACATAAGAAAGAAAAAAAACAGAGGCCAAGTTGGGGAATTTGAGAGGAAACCCTGAGAGAAATTTTTTTTGTACTTTGCTCTCCTCTTGCCTTTTTATGATAGAGAGAGGCTTATTACATTTATTTGTTTATTGGGGGTACTGTGGACACTATAGAGTAAAAAAGCCCATAAGGCCATTACTATTATTTTATTAAAAACAATTGTTTCTTATTGTATTTTGCAACATAATTAAAAAATACAAAAGGTGTCCAACTACATATATATATGGCTTTTGTTGTGTAATTATTCCATAGTTCCTTCTTTTATTTATAATATGTTTTTTTTGCTATACTATTTATCTGTGTTGATCAGAATATTTTAGAGTTGTGATTAGAGTTTTTTTTGGTAACTGGTTGTGATTAGCTTTCTTTCACATTTCTCATTTGAAATACATACATAAATAATCATTGTTTTAGTGTTATATATATTAATTTATTTTTTTGAGTCAAATATTTATATTAATTTAAATTTTTTTATTTGGTCGAAAACTTTTAATTTCCAACTGTTAACTGTGAAGAAGCTTTGATTTGGTCAGTTAAACACTTAATGGTTTATGTAACGTTTTATTGTTTTCATCAACTTTTTAGTTTTTTCTGGTTCATTTTTATCTCGTGTCTAATGGTAGATATACTCACTGTTTTGAAAAATCTATGGATTTATTCAACACCACAAATATTTGTTTTTCTGTGTTTTGTTTTTATTTTGGCAGATATACTTTTGTATCATTTAGATGATTTTTTATATAATGTACACAATTATATTTTAAAAGAAAGTATACTCCTATTTTATAAAATTACCATAAGGAAAAGAATTATTTTTTATAATTTTTACACTGAGAATATAGTACATCAGATAAAACTAGGCTAATATTTTTACATTGATAAAAATGGAGAATTAGATTATGGGTCTTTACATGAGATTAAGATACAAAATGAAGAGTGCTAAAAGTTTATCAAGAGTTTTGATATGTTGGTCTGATTTGAATTTGAATTTATTTATTTTATAAGGAGTAAAAGTTAAATATGTAAGCATGCAATTAGAACAGGTGAAGCATGAGGACTCGCAAGGAAAATCCAGTACATTGTTCCTTGTCAATTTATCACATGTCTTTTTATATTCTATTTTTTCAATCATATGGTTCCTTTTCTTTTTAACAAAACACTGTGACAACTGTACATATACTCTCAAACGCGCTTACATACATGCCAACATCAACTTTTTTTTAGTTTACGAATTTTGGTGAGATGTAGAGATAAAATAGGATTTAAAGTTAACAAAAAAAATTGAGTTTTTCTTAAATAGCAAATAATAAGGTTTTTGAAATATACAAGATACTTGATTTTTTAAAAATATGAAAATTCTCAGTCAGAAAGAAAGCGAATACTGAATCATGCAATACATAAAATTTACTAATCGATAAAGACATATTTCATTTATTTTGTTATAAGCATTTTTTTTGAGGTTTTCACATTTATTAAAAAAAAACAATTACATTCTCTATTATGTCTCTTACTAACGCACTATATAATTTCTTCTAAATAAATAATATTTTAAGAACGTAGAGATAAAACCATATTTGACCTCTTAAACGACATCTAATCTGTAGTGTGTTCCATGTTGTTCCACAACTATACTTAGAGGTTGTAATTAAATACAAATCACATGCATTAAGTAATTAAGAGATAAATATTAATAATAATTCCAATAAAAATAATAGTTAAAATCATAAAAGTAGAAAAAAAAAATGAAAGAGAGAGAGAGAGAAAAAGGCGATTTTTTTGGCGATTGCGTCCTTTCTTTCTCACCTGTTCGTGTCTCTTCTCGGAGAGTGATGTCCGGCGGTTATCGACGGTTTCTTCAGGAAGGAGTAACGGTTTAACCATCATCGATTCCTCAACGGTTCTTCTGTCACCCCTATATATATCTTGTGTCTTTGTTCTGAGTTCTTTGCGAAGATCAGAGAGAAGGAATCCATTTCCTCTATTCATCCTAATCATGTCTGAAAAAATGAGAAAACAATTACAGGACATCTCTCTTGGAATTGATGATGCCATCATCAATCTGCCATTGGATCTGTGCACTGAAGCGGCGGAGGAGACGCGATTTAGCCTCATCGGCAAACCCGTCAACCCCAAAAAGCAAAACCTCCGCGCAATGTTGTCGGCTCTTCCACGTCTTTGGGGAGTTGGCGAAGAAGTCGTAAGTCGTATCTTACAGAATCAAAAGATCCAATTCATCTTCCGATCTGAAGAATCGATGCTATCAGTAATCCGGCGAGGGCCTTGGTCCTTCAATGAATGGATGTGTGTCTTACAAAAGTGGACTCCACTTCACTCCGATGAAGATCTCAAAAGCATTCCATTTTGGGTCCAAATTCGTGGCATCCCTCTCCAAATTCTAACTCCAAGGATGGTGAGGCACATAGGACACATCATGGGAAACTTCTTGGAGACTGATTTCCAAGGCGACGGTGCCCTACATGTCAAATACGTTCGTGTCCGACTCCTATGGAACATCGATACTCCTCTGCGTTTCCAGAGGGTCTTTAATTTTGGCGAAGAGACTAGCGTCCTCAAGTTTCGCTATGAGAAGCTTCGAGGATTCTGCTCTTTGTGTGGCCTCCTTACTCATGACGCCGCTGATTGCCCTGCAAACAATTCAGAGCCCGCCAACCCTCCAGACGAAGATGATGACAATGACGACAACAATGATGATCACCCTCCAGGATTCACTCCTCCAAGAGACAATACTGATCTACCGCCAAACCAAGAAAAGAACACCAATCCAGATTCTTCTCGTGAGACTACTGGTTCTGCTTCAAAGAAGAGGAAAACTAATGCGTCTCCTGAATCTCCAACCCTACTTTGCTGTGAAAGGAGACAATGTATTGCGATTGAAGATCAAGAAGAACATTTCACCAAGAGAAGACGCTCACAGGCTGACATTAGAGAGGCATGGAATTGGTTTGGAAAACCACTTGAAGATGGTGCGAGTTCTTCCCACAACGCTGATGTCGGTCATCAGCACACACATGATAGAGAAGGCACGGTGGGCCAGAAGCCACCGGATCCGACATGAATACAGCATTTTGGAACTGTCGGGGCTTGAAAGGGTCCCTGGTGGTTCGACGCCTTAAAGGGATTAAGTCTACTTACTCCCCGGATCTACTCTTTCTAATCGAAACCAAAAATCCAGATAACATCGTCCGAGATGTAGCAGCTCAAGTTGGTTTTGATTATGTCAAATGTGTGTCTCCCTTAGGTATTGGTGGTGGTATTGCTTTGTTATGGAACAAGTCTGTTGATGTACACTTTATTTTTGTTGATGAACGTATGCTCGATTGTAAGATAAATAAGAATGAGCATTCCTTTTATTTCTCTTGCGTTTATGGTCATCCGATCTGTGGTTTAAGGCATATCTTATGGGAGAGACTTGAGAGAATAGCTACAACTCGCGTGGGTCCTTGGTTAATGTGTGGGGATTTTAATGAGATTTTAAACACTAATGAGAAACAAGGAGGTCGAGTGAGAGAGAACTGGACTTTTACAGATTTTAGAAACATGGTCAATACTTGCAAGGTTCAGGATCTATCGTTTCTGGTAAACAACATGACTTGGGTGGGTAAAAGAAGAAAAGAAACAGTTTCATGTTGGTTAGATAGGGCTATGGCCAATGATGAATGGAGAGCTCTTTATCCAGCATCTCAAGTCAAATATTTAGAGTTGATCGAATCAGATCATAGACCAGCTATCATTCAGATCCGTAAGAAAACAGATTATGGAAGGAAGATGTCTCGATATGATGATCGCTTTAGCCATGATAATGAATTCCATCAAGTTATTAAAGATAGTTGGCTCTCCAACTCACATTCTGTTTCAACCCCTGCGACTGAACGTGTTCGACGATGCAGGAAAGCGATCTGTGAATGGAAAAAGACAAAACGTATAAACTCTGCACAGGCAATTCAATCCCTTGTTCAGCAGATTGATCAAGCTTCTTCTGATCCCAATGTCCCAATCGAAACTGTATATCATCTTCGCAGGAATCTACTTCAAGCGTATAAAGACGAGGAAGCTTATTGGAAACTCAAAAGTAGGAATAAATGGTTAACATTAGGAGATCGTAACACAAGGTTTTACCATGCGTCAACAAAGAATAGAAGAGCCAGAAATAAAATCACATCTCTCAAGGGTCCAAACGGAGAATATATCAGTGGTAACGCAAACATTGCAGTCGAAGCGGAACGTTATTTTTCTGAACTATTTTCGAACTCTAACAATGAATCTGCCCTTCACATCCTCCATAATGTCAGCACAGTGGTAACTACTGAAATGAACCAAGCGCTAACTCGTCCAGTCATTCCAGATGAAGTAAAGCGATCTGTTTTCTCTATAGGAGCTACACGTGCTCCAGGTCCCGACGGATTCACAGCTTCCTCCAACAACATTGGGATATTGTGGGCTCTGCTTTAATAGATGAGGTCCGGACATTTTTTGATACTGGTACATTACCGCAAGGCATCAATCACACAAACTTATGCCTTATTCCCAAAATTGAAACTCCTGCAACGATGAAGGATTTCAGGCCAATAGCACTTTGTAATGTGCTATATAAAGTCATTTCGAAAATCCTCATGTTCAGACTCAAAGAAATACTATCAGGAGTGGTATCTGAAAACCAAGCAGCGTATATCCCAGGTCGACAAATCACAGATAATGTCTTCATAGCACATGAAATACTTCATTCTTTTCGAGTCAGAAGAAGGTGCGCTAACTCATATATGGCTGTGAAAACTGATATCAGTAAAGCTTATGATAGATTGGAATGGAATTTCTTAGAAGAAGTTTTACATCGAAAAGGCTTTGATAATCGCTGGATAAAATGAATAATGGTCTGTGTCAAATCAGTTTCTTTCTCTGTGCTCATCAATGGAAGCCCCTACGGACACTTCAATCCTCATAGAGTAATACGTCAAGGTGATCCTTTATCACCGTATCTTTTCATCCTTTGTGCTGACGTTTTGAGTTCGATGAT